AAGTGATCCAGGCTCTTTTGTGGGCGGGATGAGAGATGAGAGAAGGGTCGGGTGGGGTCCTTCCAAGGAAAGAACGAAGTATATCGTAATTAGAGGGAAACAAACGATTTGGAGAATGAGGGTGGTAGAAGAAAGTTTAAGAGTAATCTTTGGTGGAGGGTGAACTGTTTGGAACATCACTCTAGGGGGTGTGGAGTAAGGTAGTGTAAAGAATCGTTCCCCAGGGAGATAGCAGAAAGGGTTAAACACCTTGGCAATAGGTCCCAGCGAAAGTCCGGGTAACTTGGTGGAGGTTAGTGAAGCGTGGGGAAGCGGATTGAGAAGTCCCAGAAAGTGGGCGGGACTACAAGTAGGAAGTCCCAAAACTGAAGGGGAAGGATGGGAAGGGGAGAGGGTGGAGAAAATGGGGGCTGGTGGGAGGAGAGTCCGCGATTGAGGGAGACTTCAAGCAGGGTTAGAAGGAAGGGGCTTTGGGGAACGTAGGGTGCTATAGCAGTAAGAGGAGGAAGGGTTGAGATGGGGTTGCAGAGTGGCAGAAGATGGAGAAAACTGGAGTAACTCAGATCGACTGAAGCCATTTTTTCCACTCGTCTGCAAATACCAGTAATTGATTCCCTCCATCATGGGAATCCTAAAATGTGATGGGAAAGTACCACGTGTATGCATAGTATCCACACGTATTTGAACACACTCTTCACTAAGAAAAGTTTGGAAGCATTCAGTTCCACCTACCCTCCATAGCCCCCTTTTGGAGGGAGGCAAGCTTCTCATTCAGAAACAGGATTATATCACTTGATAGAAAGCTGTCCACAGACAAGATCCCTTTTAGACCATCCCCTTCAGTCACAAAATCACAGTAACACTGCTAATAAAAATAATTGTATTCATTTATATATCAAACTTCCTGAATTGTTTATTTGGTGGAAAGGCACACAGAAAAATAGTCATCATTTGGAGGAAAACAACCTCAAGAACTGAAGCAGTTTGGCGAACCCTGACTGCCTTGTTTGAACTGTTCTCCCATTGTGTGAACTTGATTTAATTCTGATAACCAGCTGCTTCTATAGGATGTTTTACTCCACTATAAATATTGAAATAGTAATACTATAATATGAAGACATTCTATATTAAGAAAAAGCCATGTTCCTCCAGGTAACCAATAGCCTGACCCTAAAGGCTTTACCATACTAGGTACTGTGCTGAATACATTCATAACCTCATTTAATTCTCACAACTCCTTGAAGTGATTCTCTTTTATGCCTGGTTTATTAGCAGGGAACTGAAACAAGGTTAAATGATCCCTGTCATACATAGGATACATGGCATAATCATAGAATCCAGATCTAATGGCTTCCCCCTGTATCCCTAAACACAAGGAGTAGTCCCTGGGCCCAAATAGGAGATCAGTAAATGCTACCTGTTGGCCTACCATATGTTAAAGTCTTTATTCGCTTACTTTAAAAAGCTTAAAAAACAAGAATTAGAAAATTCTAATGAAAACAATTTATAAGACATTATTTAGCTCTAGAAAAAAATTATTTGTGGTTAAGTTAAACCATTGAGTCAAGCCCCTTTCAGTAAAAGCTGTATGTTCTTTATTCTGCCATACTTTATCTTGGGGGCAGTTACCGTTATGAAAATAATTGTTCACTATAAGATTGTTCTGTTTAAGACAGTAATCTAACAATTCACAAACCAAAAGATACATTTTGTTGGAGATTAAAAGGAATCACTATCAAAAAATGTTCTCTATAAACAATTAGATACGATAATATAAACAGGCTTGTGGTTCTTTTTTAATTGCCCATCCCACAGATGAAATAGCTGCTTTGGTAGCAAGTTACAAGACCTGCATAGGTTACTTACTTACCATTTTGTAAAAGATGCTGTGAGAAAGGCTAGTGCTGTAAAGCAGTCAGAGTTCTACAGGCATACTCAGTGACTATCTACTTTGCTAAAGGGCAACTGTTGCAAGAAAAAATACAGGATTCAGGTGATAGGGTATTTTAAGGCCCTAAAGTAGAATTTTATAATTTGACAATATAGTTGTAGGAGAGGTAGGCAGAGAGACCGTGTTGTGGAGTTAGTTCACATCCCAGCTCTCCCACTTTGTGAGTTGTTACTTGACCTTTAGCTTCTTTAAGCCTGTTTTCCTCATCTGTAAAATGGGAGATAAGACAGTGTCCACATAGTAGAATTGTTTGCATTTCAGAACTGAAAGATTCCAGATTAAGTGTTCAGACAAATCAGAAAAGAAGCTTTTTGAATTATAAAGATAATGCCCTGCCTGGACCTTTTTCTTAGAAATCGTGGTAGCACTTTGATTTTTCAGGCTTTTAAATTAATAATTTTAATAATAAATAACTTCAAAACAGAGATAGAAGCCAAATGGCAATGTGTATCCCACCCAGATTGTTCTGAATCCAGTCAGACCTTTTGGGGTTTTATTTTAAATCATTACTCTTTCTCCTAGAAACCTTGGAAGTGCTTTTGGTGGTTCTTTCAGTGAAGGCCACCTTTGTCAAAATACCAGTGCCCTCCTGAGCTAGTGCATTACCTGTTCTTAAGTGGTCCCACAGCTGGCACTACTTCTGCAGGTGTGGCTTATTCGAGGATGGCTTCTTGATTCCTTGTTGCCCTTCAGACCAGCTCTTGGGTGTATGCTATGCCTGCCTGATGCCTTTTAATTCTCACTGGCACTTGGTTTTCTTTGGGAGGACAGAATTGGGTAGTCATAACTAGTGTAGATAAAGTCAGATGGCCTAGGTTCTTAGGCTGGCTCTACTACATACTGGCTGTGTGTGTGTGTGTGTGTGTGTGCCACATACAAGCAAGTGTATCTCAGTAGCTTTATCTGCAAAATAGGGATAAGTACCTATCTCAGAGTGGTCACAGTGATAAGAGATACTACCCATATATGTGCACAGCATCTGATTCATACTAAAAATTCACTAAATATTAGCTGCCTTTTATATTTAAAGTCCAGTGATTTGACCAACCTCATGTTCCCAAAGTATGTTTGGTGCTCAAGAGTAGAATCTGCTGTCCTTTAAGTCTGTTTGATGGCAGTGCACTCTTCCCTGGAGATCCAAAATGAAGATGAACAGATCGGTAAAGAAACCTATTTTAATTTATTGGCTAAACTTGAACACAATTATACCTACTAACTTGCTGTACTACATTTGGTAAACACTGGACTAATAACCTTCCACTAAGCTCCATCTATTAATTGGAAAGATGTATACAGAAGTTGTAGTTTAGATCCCCGCTGAATCTGTCCCTCCCAGAAAGACAAGTATAAGTGAAGCCAGTTTCCAGCAAGTGTTCACTATAAACCCAATCTTGTATAGTACCACAAACTTGCCACCAGGTGGTGCTGTTGTATAAAGTGAGTCTTAGAAGTGTCACTGTAGTATACTATTTTTAGTGCCTTAAGCCAAAAGTGGTCAAAGCATTTGATGAGAGTCACATCAGAAATCAGCTTTTCACTAAAGTTGATTGAAGGACTTCAGTTCGCAAGGCTTTTAGTTAAAAGAGGTCCTTTGAACCTTGAAATACCAGATAAGCAAAGTGGGCACAAAGTTTATGGCATCACCAAGGAAAAAAAGTAAACTCTAAAAGAACTAGCTCCTAACAATATCCTTGAGGAAAGCAGATTATTAGTATAGTAGTTAAGAATGTGGGCTGTGCAGTGTATAGGTTGGGTTCAAATTCTGGTTTTTTGACTACTAGCTATGTGGTCTTGAACCCAGTTGTGATATTTCATTAACTGTTTACATTGTAGTTACCTTTGGTGATCTTAAGCAGTCTTATACGTATATCAGTTTTTTTAAAGTTTACACCTTATAGAATTGTTAGAGGAATGAGATAAAATGTATATAAAGCACTATGTCTAGTACACAAGCAAATATGAGCTATTGCTATTATCCTAAACCCTTTTTTCCCTCTACAGCTTATTTTCAGTTGCTTTTGTAAAGACGGAAGGCTCATGGTACAAATTATTGTTTCCAGGTAAGTACATTTTAAGGCTTTTTTTTACTCAGCTTGACTGCTTAGAGCTATATAGATTTTCTATTATTGGAGGAATCAGGGTCCTGAGGTACCCCTCATACAGATCCTTGCATTTCAATCTCTAGTTTAGTGCGGCACACTGCCCAGTTTCCCGAGCACTTGTGCTCAGCACAAAGTTCCTTTGGGCCTTGAATGGTGGTGTAGGACACTAGTCATCCTTCACCCCACAAAAATATTGTAACCGCCAGCCCTTTGCTTGCAGTGCTGGGGCTGGAGGCCTGGCAGAATGGGTGCTGATGGAGCTACAGGGGGAGATCGAGGCTCGCTACAGCACTGGATTAGCTGGAAACCTCCTGGGAGACCTACATTACACCACTGAGGTGAGGGGGCTTTTCTTTCCCTGCCTAATGCCTCAGGAAAGCAAGCTACACCAAGGTGGTGCTCCCAGGACCCAGAGTGAGGACTCCCCTCAGGTTTGTTATTTAAGGTCTAGCTAATCTGCTAAGCTGTTTACTGTCCCACCTCTGTAGTAGCAGGGCAGTTTAGCTTTGAGGAATCTCAAAAGGTCACAGTTCTAAAAGTGAAAATTGTCTTACCTGGGCAAAAAAGGGCACAAGGGTGGGTTGTCTACTGTGGCTGCTCAGCAATGGAAGAGCCAGACCAGGGAGGGCAGGTGGCAGTGTTGCCTGCCAAGAGCATCTCTAGGAAGCACCTGAGCATTATGATCTTGCTCTGAACCTCAGGCATCTCGTTCTTGTTCTGCCAAAGGGAATCCCTGTGCTGATCGTGGGGCATCATATCCTGTATGGGAAAATCATCCACCTGGAAAAACCTTTTGCAGTCCTTGTCAAACACACTTCTGGGGAGCAGGACTGTGATGAGCGTGCCTGCAAGACTGGTACCCGGTACCTGGTGACAGCACTCATCAAAAACAAGATTCTTTTCAAAACTCGCCCGAAGCCCATTATCACCAACGTTCCCAAGAAAGTATGAAAGAACCCCGGATTTTCCCTAGAGAGCGGCCAGCTCCTTGGACTCGTGCTCCACTGCCACCTCGAGGACGGCTCGACAGTTCCCTGGGACCGCAGGGGGGTCCTGTTCTAAACACAGGCCACCCACTGGGCATGATCTCGGATTCCCTCCTTATGACGCCTGGTTCTCTTGGTGGAAATCTGGCCCCATTTCCAAGGAATTCTTCTCCTTTTTCAGCTTCATCAGGTTCATTGGCTTCAAATGCGGCACCTTTCCCTGCTGGTGCTCGTGACCCAGGCATGGCTTCTTTTCCAAGGGGAATGAATCCCACTAGCACAAGTGCAGTTTCTTTCCCAAGGCCAGGTGGCCTCCTTGGCCCAGGTCCGGGCCCAGCTGTAAACCCTAGAGCAGGGGCTCTTCCAGGCCCAGGGCCTCTGTCTAACCCAAGGTTAGGGGGTCTCCCTGGGCCAGGTCCTATGCCCAACTCAAGGGCAGGTGGTCTCCTGGGAACAGGTCCTAACTCTAGAAGTGGAGGCCCCATGGGCCCTGGATCTGCACCCAACCTGAGAACGGGTGTCCTTTTGACTTCTGGAAATGGTCCTCCCAATAATAGGCCCCTTGGCCTGGGCCCTGGACCAAGCCCCAGTCTGAGATCGGGCTTCATAGGTTCTAACCCTGCCCCAAGGTCCGGTATGTTTCCAGGCCCCAGCCTTGGGCCCAACCCAAGAGCAAGTGACCTGGGCCCAGGCCTTGGGCCCAACCCAAGAGCAAGTGACCTGGGCCCAGGCCTTGGGCTCAACCCAAGGGCAGGCGACCTGGGCCCAGGCCTTGGGCCCAACCCAAGGGCAGGCGACCTGGGCCCAGGCCTTGGGCCCAACCCAAGGGCAGGTGGCCTGGGCCCAGGCCCTAATCTGGATACCAGAGCAGGTGGCCTCTTGGGCACAGGATCTGGTCTTAACTTAAGAATGGCTGGCCCTCAAGGCCTAGATCTTGCCCCCATTCTAAGAGCAGCAGGTCTTTTAGGAGCAAATTCATCATCCTTTTCACAGGCTTCTGGAAACATGGGCACAAGCCCACCTTCCATGGCAAGAATACCTGGCCCCATGGGCCCAAACTCGGGTCCTGGCTCTCGGGGAATTGGCCTTCCAGGGCCAAATCCATCTCCCATGTCTAGGGCTCCTGGCCCCATGGGCCCTAATTCAGCTCATTTTTCGAGGTCAGCTGGCCCCATGGGAGTAAATGCTAATCCCTTTCCAAGGGGGACGGGTTCCGGGGCACTGAACCCAGCTGCCTTCTCTCAGTCTTCTGGCACATTGGCTTCAAACCCAGCTACCTTCCAGAGGTCTGCTGGCCTCCAGGGCTCAAATCCAGCAATTTTCCCAAGAGCCTCTGGGCCTTTAGTACCCAACCCAGCTAACTTCCCAAGGGCCACCGGCTTACAAGGTCCAAGTCCAACCACGTTCCCAAGGTCCACTGGCCCACTCGGCCCTGGTCAGGTTACTTTCCCCAGGTCAGCTCCTGGGCCTCTGGGTTCTTCTCCAGCAGGCCCTGTGGGTATCAACCCAGCTCCTTTTGCAAGACCAACAGGGAACCTGGGTCTAAACCCAACTTCCTTTCCAAGGATGAATGGCCCTGTAGCCAAGACTTTGGTCCCGTTTCCTAGAGTGGGTAGTCTCCCTGGCACAAACCCAGCTGCTTTCTCCAGACCAGGGGGCCCAATGGCTACAATGTACCCAAATGGAATGTTACCCCCTTAAATAGCATTTTCTCTCCAGGACCACCTTGGTTTCTAGGCATCGTGGTTCTGGGCCGAGGCTGTGTTTTAGGCGAAAGGGTAGACATGGAGCTACAGTCTGAAGTACATAGCTGGGGCTCAAGTTCAAATGAGCCATCTTTTTCAAATTCTGCTTCTTTCTTGATTGAAGGTGAAATGTTATTTGTGGGACATGGACTGCAGCAGGCGGAGTGATCCTAGCCTTGAGAGAAGGGATCCCCAGCCTTCCAGAAGCCTGCTGTGCTTTTGTCCCACAGCTTTCTGCCCCTTGTTTCTTACTAGTTTCTTGAATTGTTCTTGTGGACTTTCCTCAGGGATACATTGGCCTGCAGGTCCCAATTCATATGCAGCCCCCTGCTCACCACTGGAGAATCAGCTCACTGCGCTCTAGAAACGCGGCACTGGTGAGCAGACCGTGCTTCGGCAGTTCGGACCCGGGCAGCTTGGACCTGGCCATCCTCTACTGCCGTACCTTTCCCTGGGGGCTGGAACACAGAATAGGGAGGTGGGTGACCACTTTAAAGACCCACCAAATACAATTTTTACTTGATGGCTAGTCCTGCAGCTGCCTTCTCTGGGACTCAGAGGAGGCCAGAATCAAGGCTCCACTGCTCATACAACTCCCTCCACTGGTACTCCCGATCACAGAACCTCAGAATTTAAGCTGATGCGGATGGGACATGGGGTGGGGGGCTGGGGGTGAGGGGGAGAAATCACTGTGCTTTGTTCAACCTGATGTGAAAGGATGGTTGTTTTTCCTGCGTTGTATCTTTTCTAACTGTTTCTTTAATAAATGGGATGAGAGGGCTGCCGATGTCACGCCATTTTGTTACCTGTTCCACAGGGAAGGAAGTTTACTCCACTGCTTATGGTTTCAGCTTGGCCACAATCCTCCATTATCTGCCAGATAACATGCCTTCATTTAAGGAAGAGGCAAGCTAGACTTTTAGCTTTGGCTCACTCATCTGCCAATAATTTCACCAAAGACCCTGCCCACCCCGTACAATAAAATCTAAGCCACCACAGGCATACAGTTACCAAGGTGGGCCTACCATAGTCCCCAGTGCGGGCAGCTGACGGCTTACCCTGTTTCTGAGTGACGCTGGGATTACCTCAACTATATTTCTAGCTCAAGGGCCCCTTTTAAAACTGGAGTGAAGAGCTAGCTTTCATTAAGTACAAAAGGAGGAAGTAGCTCAGAGATAATAGCATTATGTGAGAATCTTTATTTTGACAAATGTGCAGTATAAAAAACGACATGAAAAGTTAAAAAAAGGCAGGTAAAAATAAATATGTTTACAAATTATTGTAGAAATAATACAAAAAAACAATTAAAATTCTCAATGAGGAAAAACCAAAACATGTCCGATTGTATAAAGGCTCTTCCCTTGCTAGAAATGGGGATAAAGCTGAAGACCCAGTTTGGTTTCACTGCTGAAAAACATACAAAATAACTTAGAAAAACCAGTCGAGGTCAAACGTTGTGAGCCCACTACTTGTACTCGCCTACTTGTGATGTGAGGAAAGTTGATAACCACAGTGCAAGGCAGAGCTGATGGCAGGACAGCCAGGAGTTTTCCATCTGGGAGTCCGTCCATCCTACATTAACCTTCAAGTAAAGCTTGAAGAAAAACAAGCCCTTAGTCAAGTCTGAGCTCTGCAGTTGGCTGACCGGATTTCCTCCATTGTAGTGCTCAAAATAGTTTACTTCTTGGCCAGCAAAAAACACGGAAGAGCTTGGAACAACTGCCTTTAGCAAATGCCTGCTGTCTCTTCTAGTCTTCGTGGATCGGGTCCAACAGCAACCAGCGGTCTTATCAGAAACTTGAGGTCTGTGTGATGCAGCCGTGTTGGCTGCACTTGGAAAACCTTTGAGTTCATGGGAGATGAAGGAAAGCACCAGGGTTTGCCAGTCTGTGGCTCAGCACACTGTTCCTTTGTAGGAAGCACCTGGGCACACTATAGAGGCTTGCCCCCCCCCTCAACTCCTCTCTCCCTTACTGCTGGTTCTATGGAGGTTAGCTGGACCCTGTGAGAGTGGACCATTTGGAGAGAGTACACACAAGCAAGCAACCCCTCATTCAGAGGCTTGGTTGAGATCCCAGGTTTCAAACCCAGGAGCTGAGAATAGTCTGTGGATTGCCAATCCCTAGAAAAAAGCTTTCCTTTATTCCCCCACAAAAGCAAGGAGAAATAAAACAGCCTTGAGTGGCCTGAGAAAGCAAGAACCTTAGGAATCAATTCCGTCTCCCAGTTTGGTTTCTGGAAAGAAGCAATTGCAATAGGGACTCTCCACTGCTTGGCTGTAAGAATTCCGTGGAGAAGCCACTGAGGAGAATGGACAGTCTCAAAGATGACCAGCTTGGACTTGAGGGTTCACTTAGGGAGTACTGAAAAGCTTTCCATTAGAGACGATTGTCAAGATTTGTATCCTGAAAGTCACACATGCTACCCAGCTGGCAAGGAATCTGTCCCAAGCAGTTCCAAGGTGGTAGCCACTTTGGTCAGAGGCTCCTTGTGGGTTTTCCTCCATGTGCTGAGAGCAGACTTGCCTGTTACAGAGGGGCGTGTGAGAATCCAGGCTCTGCCTCACTTGCCATCTTGAAAAACTCAGTGAGGAGGAGGGTGAAGAGGTGATGACATTTCTTTGAAAGCAAAGCTAGGAGGCTGTCTTGGGACTCGGCTGAATTTGAGAGGAATTCAGGAGCAGACAGGTTGAAATACTGAGCCTTCACTTTTTTAGTACGTTGGGGTTCAGTCTTCCCAGTCGATGACCAGAACATTTTATCTCCCCAGTAGACTTCACAGACAAACTAATCCAGATGCCTGGGCAGCGTCCAGGGGGAATACATACAGGCCTCCATATAGCCCATGGACTTCAGCGCCCCTGCCAATCTTCGTTCCTCCTGGCAGACTTGCCTTTTTAACATTCGTGTCTATGTGCACCTGAAAGCAGTTCAGTGCTAAATCCCTGTCAGTTTGGCTCATCCTTGGGATGTGGAGATGTGGAATGGGGTATATCGCATAATAAAGCACCATTCCTGTACCCTGTTTTCTGATGCCCAGAGATCCAGCTTCTGGGACTCATATCTCAGGCACAATCTTATTGCATTGATAACTAGATTGAGGGGGGAGCTATTTACTAGCTGGCCCAGACCTCAGAAATTCTCCCACCACCTCTGGCTGTGTTCAGATGGGCTAAGAGAACCCCTTCCCACAAGCTGGTGTTGCTCATTTACCTACCAGAAGTTGCCAGAGTGGAACTTCTTTGAGTTAGCACACTTCTGAGTTCCCTCTGACCCCTGGGGCAGGGAGTAGAATCTTCCCCGGAGACCACCGTGGAGCAGACAGGCAGCCTGGAAACAAGTCAGTCTTCTCCACCTGCCTGAGCTGGGATCAATGTTGCCTTCTCTAAGCAGAACTGCCCCCGGCCATACTACAAATCACCTTTCTTTGCACTTCAGATTTGTCCTTTGGACCATTAAGAAACTAAAACAGCATTCCCTCCTCCCTCCCACCCCATCTTTTCTCTTCCATTCCCCTTCCCTCCCTTACCCATTGCACTTTTTCCCGCTCTGCTTGAGGGTTATGTCACACCTCAGCAAAAGCTAAGCTATACTGCTCTGGCTTCTTCCCACATCGCCGGGCGATGATGGCCAGATACAACATGAGGAGGGCCACCCAGTAGCAGCCGTACAGGATGGCCCCAGAGACGAGGAAGGCCAGCTCCGTCTCACTGAACAGATCCTGGCAGTAAGCTGTATACGCTAGTCCTCCCAGAAGGACTGCCACCCAGATGGACACGGGGATGAGGCCAATGAAGTTCACCACAATGGTTTTTCGGCCAGAGGTGCCCCAGCCAGACTTATTGATGGTAGCAATGGCAAAGATCTTGGCTGGCAGGAGACTGGACATATAGAGAAGGGAGTAGAGGGACATGAAGATCATCTCTGCATTGCCCCGGAGGAAGCAGGCATAGGTAGCCTTGATGATGCCCACCAGCTGCACTGTCAGCAGGAAGAGGAGAATGTTCCAGATGCGGCCACGGTAGAAAAGCTGTATGACCGTGGCAATGAGGAAGAAGGGAAAGAAACCCGTGACCACGGATTCGTAGGTCATCCAGAGGTGGTGCTTGTGGAACCACAGAGAGTTGTAGAGCCACTCCCGAAAGTAAGACTTGCTCCAGCGAGTCTGCTGGTTGAGCCACCGGAGGTACTTCGTGGGGGTTTCTGTGAGGCACTTGGAGCGCGCTGTATATTTAGTCCTGTAGCCAAGGCTCAGGACACGGTTGGTAAGGTGCCGATCATCCCCAAAGCTGCACCTGCTGCCTAAGAACTTCTGATGGTACCAATCTTCCAGGAACTGCTGGAGGAGGCTGTTGCGGTACATGCCCAATGGCCCACTAATACACTGCACACAGCCAAAGTAGGACTGGCAGGCCCGCTCCACGTTGAAGGCCATCCAGTACCGCACGCTGCTCAGGAAGGAGATCCATGAATCGTACTTGTTGAGGATCTGTAAGGGAACCACAGATGCTGGGCCTCCCCACCTGAGACCAGGAGCCCCAGGAGACAGACACCGGAGACTGTGAGGCCTCCTTGCCCTGAGTTCCATAGCCCATTGCTCAAGTTCCAGCCATGAGCCCTAGCCCATCCAGGGCTGGGAAACCTGAGGTTCAGAGGAGCCAGCCACACCCACTCTCCTCCTCAGCACCAGCCCCAATTCTCCACTGTGAGTCTGCATGGGCTGTCCCAGTGAAGTTACTCTAGCAGCCAAAGCCACCTTCAGTCTCAGGAGGAAGCCTGTGGCAGTGACAGAAGGCCTTGACAAAGACACAAAACAACACCCGGCCACCTGTCCTGACCCTTCAGTTGGAAAGCTTCTCAGGAAGACCTGGTATGTTGGCAGCAGTACCCTCTAGAAGATAATGCCCTTTATTCTGACCACAACTGTCCAGAGCCCCTCAGAGCACCTTATCAAAGAGCAAAGGTTTCTCAGGGGCCTAACCTTGGAGGTGCTTGCTGCGCTATCAGCAAAAAAGGAGGCACCCCTCAGGATCAATGGCCTCAGCGTCCTGTGCCCCTCCTAGCATCACAGGCTCTCCACATACCTGGTAATTTTTCCCCCTTAGGTTGAAAAAGGGCAGGAAAGGGTTGAATAGCAAG